AAAAAAAAAAAAAAAAAAAAAAAAAAAAAAAAAAAAAAGCCAAAAATATGGCAGAGACTTTGGACAAAATCTGTAAAGTGAAAACCAGAAATTAAATCCAAGACTCAAGTAGTTCCTTCAGTCTGAGGATTTCTCTGACCTCAATGACTTACTACAGTCGTACTGTGATGAGGCAACAGAACAGCCAAAGCCTGCTCCTGGGTCTGTTGATAACCATTTCCCGCCCCATCTTAATCCGGTACCCAAAAAAACTACACCTTGAAAGGAAAGGGAAAGAGGAAAGAAAACAGCAAGAGAAACAGATCCATGGGAATTAAATACACGGATCACACAACAAATATGCTTATAATATTTAAAATAAAAATCATGCGGGGTGGTGATGGCGCACACCTTTAATCCCAGCACTTAGGAGACAGTGGCAGGCAGATCTCTGTGAGTTCGAGGCCAGCCTGGTGTACAGAGCAAGTTCCAGGATAGGCTCCAAAGCTACACAGAAAAACGCTGTCTTGAAAGCCCTCCCCCACCAAAATCAAGCCTTGAAATGAATAACAAAAAAATATGAAACTTTCTTTAAAGTGACAAAACAAAAATTTCAGGAACTAAAAACAGCAATAGGGCTGGAGAGGTGGCTCAGCGGTCAAGAGCACTGACTGCTCTTCCAGAGGTCCTGAGGTCCCAGCAACCATATTGTGGCTTACAAGCACCTGTTATGAGGTCTGGTACCATCTTCCAGCCTGCAAGGACACATGCAGGCAGAACACTGTATACATAATACATAAGTACATCTTTAAAAACAGCAATAATGGAATTTAGTGTGTAAGAGGGACACAGTAATGCACTCATTTATTCCCAGCAAGAGGGAGGCACAGGCAGGGGAATCTCTGAGTTCCTGGCCCGCTTGGTTTATATAGCCAGTTACAGGACAGCATGGACTGAATAACGAGACCCTGTTTCAAAAACCAAAAACAAACAAACAAACCAAAATGAAAAGGATACTAGTGCTTAACGAAAGTATAGGAACAGAAGAGAATCAATGAAGAAATTACCCCTCTAGAAGGAGAATCAGGCAGAAAGATCTTGAGTTCTGGGCCAGAGCAAGACCCTGACTTAAAAAAAAAAAAAGCAAACAAACAAACAAAAACTGCTTCATGGGGATATAGGGTGAAAATGACTATAACTTTACAGACTAAATAAAATAAGGTCAAAGGCCTACTTAACACTGGCAAATGTAAAAGCATACACCTGTAATTTCAACACTTGACAGATAAAAATCAGGAGATCAAGATCATTTTTCCATCCATTTCAAATCCAAGCCTGGCTACATGACTGTCTAAAAACAACTATCAAAAAAGTCAAATACGTTCTTTGGTTCTAAAACTGGAAAAAAAAAAAAAGCCAAATAGGAAGACAAGTGAAAGTACACAACTCGCAGTTTGAAACATTATACCTGAAAACACAAAACAAAGGCAAACACTCTTAAAAGCACTTCTGGGTGAAAGTGATCACACTTAAGAGTGAAGACAAGTAAGTCAAAAAGATGAACACACGAAAACTGCTTAAGCTTGCTGCCCTAAAGGCACATTACACTGTAACCAAGCTTACAGTTGAACCATGCTGTTAAATTACTTCACTGTCAAAATATGGGTGGCTTTCAATTTCTGAGGCAGAAGACTGCCTCTAAGCAAACTTTCAGATCCCTGGATGGTGACAATGAAGGGTGACAGCCAGGTAAATGGTTTTCACATAATTCTTCCTTTTTAGAAACCAGAATTTTGGCCGGGCGGTGGTGGCGCCAGCACTAGGGAGGCAGAGACGAGACAGGTGGATCTCTGTGAGTTCAAGGCCAGCCTGGTCTACAAGAGCTAGTTCCAGGACAGCCAGGACAGTTACACAGAGCAACCCTGTCTTGAAAAAAACAAAAACAAACAAAAAAGAAACCAGAATTTCCTCTTAAAGGCATTAAGACTTCAACTTCAAACGGTAATTGGGCTGTCCTACTTTCAAACCCGTAGGCATTATTCACAGCTCATCTTAGGATCAAATCGAAATACACAAGCTGCCTTTATTTCAACTCAATCCCTTCTAACACGGAGAGCTAACCAGATTCCTTTCAAATATTTCAGAAGCAGTACCCTCCAAACCATTTTATTAGTTTGTTCGTTTATCCTGCTTTGGTTTCTGACAGTCTTGATGTAGGCCAGTCTAGACTCCAACTGACAAACCCCCAACCCCGACCCTTCTCCCCAACCTCCATGGACATAGGATTTCAGGATTGCCACGTTGAGCTCCTCCAAATGGTGTTTCTGGGGACACATCAAAAAAATCAATTAACGTAACCAATGAAACCTGTCTCACAGGTTTACATACAAGAAGTCGCCGTAAATCCTAAACCACAGATTCATATTAGCCTTTCGTGGCTCCTACTCTATAGACTTAACCAATCAGACTAAGGGGTGAGGTACAAGACCTGTATTTTAAAATCGTGTTTTCCTCTAAGAAGCACTTCCACGAACAATAGGTCTCCCCTTCCCTCTCCGTGGACTGACATTCCAAGGGGCACCGACTCTCAAATAAGACATCCCAACTAGTCGGTCTTAGTTCTAATAGGCACACCGCCTTGTTTCCTATCAGAAGAGAATGTGCGGGGCACAGCGATTGGGACATGGCAACAACACGTAACAAATGTGCTTCCCATCCCGCAACTACACTCTGGGATTGAACGACTCTCAATCGGGCATGCCACGTTTTCTAAGGAGCGTGGAGCGGTTCCGAGTGCAACACAAGCGGCTGCTTACTTGAGGCCTGGATAACTTCAGCCAGGAGAAAAGGGCTGAAAGCAGCAAGAGGCTCGGCGAGCAAGAGAGAGAGGGTCGGAACCTCCCACCTCGATCCCCACGCCGTCCGCAGGCTTTCGTGGCTCCGCTCAGGGCGGCCACCGCAAACTCCCAGCCCAGGAGCCTCAGGATACCGGACACGGGCAAGAACGCGGACTAAAGACGAGTTTGGGCCCTAACCCTAACTCCGGCCGTAGTTCACCCTCGCCTCGGCCAAAAAGCCTGGTTTCGCCCCCCGGCGCGGACCCAGGCCGCACTCACCTCCCAGAGCACGGGAGGAGAGCCTCCCTCACCTCCGCGGCGTCTAACTCAAACCGCCGCCGCCAAGGCCGCTCGCTCTTAAAAAAATAGGTCAGAAAGACTGAAAGAACAACGGTTTAAAGCAAGCAGCGGACTTTGCTTTTGTATTCCTTTTGACCCTTCGGGGCTTCCTCTTCCTCACCGCCACAACAAATTTCCTCCCCGCTTCCGGCGGCGCAGCCCAATCAACGGCGGCCTCCCGCCTCCGAGCGCCTCGTGGAAATCCGGTGCTCCAACACTGGATGGAGAGATTTGATTGGGCCGTTCGCCCTTCGGCAAGGGGATTAGCCGGTTCATTCCTGGGTGGCGGGCCGAACCGCGGGCTCACGTGACACGAGCCGTGGGCGATGATTGGCTGCCGGATAGAGAAGGCTTGCCACCGAGGAAGGGGCGTTTCCTAGGGGACTGAGGGAGGGCCCGGGCGGTGCGAAGCGGGGGTGGGCCCTGCGCGTAATGGCTGTGCCGTGTCCTCGCGTCCATCTTTACCGCTCTCTTGGACCTGTCACAAAGGAGTCGCGCCGCTGTCGCTGTTCCCTCCCTCCGGTGGGCCCGGGAGCTAGTGGAAGTCAGTGCCACAGCCCAACCTCGCTGCTCTGGGAAGGCCCTGGGGGACGTGGCCGGAGAGGGAGCCTACAGGCTAGGGACGTCTGTGAGGGAAGGGAGCAGCCGCCAGAGCCTGGGTCGGAGAGAGCGGACTGGGGCCGCGGCCGGCTCCGGGTAGGGGTCTTGGAGAGGGTGGCGCTTGGCAGAGCCCTGGAAGCAGCCGGCACGTTCTCCGCCGAGGCCCGCGCTGGAGGCGCCTAAAGCGGTTCCTGGAAGAGGGTGTTTCCCTTTGGGGGATCTTGCCTGGAGGAGGTCCTGGGGTCACCCTTCCGACGAGACTGCGGCTAAGCGGGCCCAGGTGAGAGGCAGGTACCCCCTGGGGAGGCTCCCGACGTGGGGGAACGCTCCGTCCAGGCTGCTCAGAGCGGAAGGGGTCGAGGGGCGCACGCCGTGGGCGGGGGATCCCTTTTAGGGAGTTTGCGTTTCAGCAGGGAGCAGACTTCCCCTGGGGAGGTCTGGTGGTGCCAGGGGTGGAGGGTTCGACGTGGTGGAGAGAGGCTGGGGAGAGTTCCGCGCCGTACCGAGAGGCTGGAGGCGGGAGCCAGACCTAGCGGATTCTCCTGTTCTCGAGGCCTGAGCTAAAATTTGGGCAAAAGCCCGGGGAGGCAAGATTTCTGGGCAGCTCTTTCCATTGGAAAGCCCGAGTTCGGGATAGTAAGCGGAAACGGGAATAGGCAGGGTTCTTCCCTCTCTCTGGAGACTGACCAGGTGTCCTAGACGAAGGATTCTGCTGCCTCTGGGCTCAGCGCCAGAGTGGGACGCGGGAGTCGTCCACCAGCACCCCCTGCGAGCCTCCAGATTTGGCATCGCTTCCTGCCTGCTGTCTGCCTCGCTCTCCCCGTTCTCACAGGAGACCTAGGTAGAGCTGCCGGGCTGAACCGCTGAGGAAGTCTTGTGTAGACGTCTGAGTGAGGCTGTGTCCCCTGGAGTGTTGTACTTTGAACTTTTCAAAGTTGGCAGTGTCTGTTATCGCCTGGAGTAGTGTCCCGTAGTCTCCCAGGTCCCTCACTTATCATCTGCTTGCCCTTGGTTGAAGTGACTTAACAGCTTAAATAATCAACGCTGTGTGTGAAAGTCTGGTAATGCGGACGGATTGCTGTTGCGAAATAAAGTGTTTTCTAATCCGTAAGATAGTTGATGTGAGAGATTAGCATAAATGCAGGTGTCGACTTCCTATAGCTCTCTGAGAACCACACCTTACTGAATGCTTCAAGGGTTACAGCTTCTTAGGTGATGTTAGTCTAAATCCTGATTTCAAGCCCTGCTTCCTTGACATGAAGAGGTTTCCAGGTTTTGTTTGTGGAGTTTTAATTTACTTTCAACTTCTCTTGGTGCTGGTAGGAGCTAGCACTTCCTTTGGGAAGTTTTTCTCCAAGAAATTTGTTTTCGATATTGTAGGCCCACTTCTTGTCTGTATTCCTGGCCTTAGGATGGCTACAGGTAGTTAATGCTCTGCTGGCTCCCTGGGTTGTAATTTGTAAATAAACCTGCGGTTTGCCTTCCACGAATTCTGCCTGTGGTACCCACAGAGTATAGATTACAAGGCACTTCTTTTGATTTTTCACTTTCTGTAGAGTTTGCACTTCTTGGGGGTGATAACTTGCTTTGTAGATCCCTGTTATTATGGGTTACAATAATAAGATAAGAACCTATGTCAGTACGTGACACTTCACTAACCTTGGTTTTGTGGTACTTGTTAGAGCTGTTTTGTTAGGGCCGGTGTCCCAGAATTTAGGAATTTATTTGTGTTTTGTTGTTGTTGTTGCCTTTTAAAAATAGGCTTTAAAAGAAAAGTTGGCCTGAATTTCCTACCTTTAATCTTACATTTCATATTTGTTGTTTTGTTTTGTTTACTGTGGTGACTTTGTGAGCATCCTGATTTCCCAGGATACATAGTGTGTGGGGCTTCTGCTTAAATATCTTTGTAAGTTCTGCTTTTTGCTTTTTTTTTTTTACAGGATTTTCATTTTTTTCTAGACTCAATGTTTTTAAGCTATTGATTATGTAAAGTATTCCATCATGGCCTATGTAGATTTTTATGCTTAGTCAGCTAAATAGCTTCTTTTAGTATCAAGAGGAACAAAAAGCTTTAGCGTTGTACATAATAGTGTGTTTTTCTGTACTGAATAGGGAACAAGCAATTCTCTCAGCTCTGAAGTATGATTAGCAAGGTTAGTAACAGTAGCTATGTTTCTGAAGTGTACTTACAACAATCTGTTTAAACTCATGGAGATTAAACTCGTGTTCAAGGATTATATAATATTTTTTTTAACTTTTTTCTGATAATGAATTTTTTTTTGAGACAAGATTTTACTACGTATTCTTAAACTGACCTGAAACCGGTGGTCCTCCTGCCTAAGCCTCCTGAGTGCTGGGATTGCAGGTGTGTACCATACGTAGGTTTGTTTTTTGTTTTTTTGAGACAAGGTCTCCTTATGTAACTTTGGCTGGCCTGGAACTCAAAGAGATCACCTGCCTCTGCCTCCAGAGTGCGGGGATTAAAGGTGTGCAACACCTTATCCAGTGAAATTGAATTTATGATGAAGAATCACCTTGAAGGTTTTAGAATATGACTTTCTTTGATACTCTAAAATCTGTGTAGCTTTAAAATATTATTAAGAATCATTTAGAAAATTTGGTAAACAAATTTTAAAAGGATTTTATTTTTAATGTTTGTGATTATGTGTATGTGGAAGGGAAATATGGTACATGTATGAGGGTGCCTCTGGAGCTACCGGTGCTGATCCTCTGGAGCTGGAGTTTTATTAGGCAGTTGTGAGCCTGTCGCTGCTAGGAACAAAACTTGGGTGCTCTTAGGCACTGAACTATCTCTCCAGGCCTATTAGGAATTCTTGAAAATGGTGATCTCTATTACAAAAGAGTAAATGGGAATTTTTCTGTATTTTAGGGTCAGATCCTTGTAAAGTAAAACTTAATATTCATCACGAGATTCTAAGTGTAAAGGGGAAGTAGGCGGGCACTGCCAGTGACCAACTGAACCTGTAATCAATTAATCAATTTCAGTCATTTGCATGGTTGTGGTGGTGGTAGTGCTGCTGCTGCTGCTTCTCCTTCTCCCTCTTCTTCTCCTTGTCCTCCTCCTCCTTCCTCCTCTTCTTCCTTCCTTCTCTTCTTTTCATTTCCTTCCTTCTTTCTTTCCTTCTTTCCTTCCTCCCTTCCTCCCCCTTCTTCCTCCTTTCTCCTCCTCCTTGCTTTTGGCATTTTCAAGGCATTTGCCATTGAGTTGGATGGATTTTTTTTTTTCTGGAATTCAAATTTAAAAGTCAAAAAGCTGAATAGTCAGGAAGTAGTGAATGCCAAAACCTGGGCCACAGCCCTTAGGAAACTTTTAGTGGAGCAAAAGAGTGTGTATTTTCCTCCTAGAGCTGGAGTTACAGTCACTGGTGAGCCAAGCAACATGGGTGCTGGGGCTTCTGCAAGAGCAGTGTGTGATGTGCTGCGGAGCCACCTCTCCACACCCTGCTTACCTGCCTTTTTTGTCTGGGCTTTTGAGAAATAGAAAATATTTAAATAGCAAGAAGTTGATGTAAGAACTCAGTAAGGAATGACCTCTGCATGAAGCTTTCCCCCTGCTTGAAATTACAGCATCCAGGCATAATTTCACAGGTCCTGTACACTTCAATTAGAAGGTTTAACATTTCTTACTCAGCAAGTGTATTATTACTCTGCAGTTTATGTTTCAGAGTTGGTTTTTTCTTACTTCTACCTCCTAAAGAATTAAGTTTCCTCTCCTTTGTTCACTGAATGCAGTATTCTCAAAATATGACCCCAACTCCACCCTTCCTCACGGGAAATAGAGCTCCTTTATTCAGTCCTTACTGCTTTGTCATTATTCGTGGCTACAGATGCCTATGAACTTCATATTAATAACCTTCCAAGTCATTTTTTTTCTCTGTGTAACAGTCTGGGCTGTCCTGGAACTCGTTTTGTAGACCAGGCTGGCCTCAAACTCACTGAGATCCACCTGTCTCTGCTTCCGAAGTGCTGGGATTAAAGGTGTGCACCACCATCACCTGGCTCCAAGTCAGTTTTTAAGGCTCGCTAAGATACTGTATTTGTTACCTCAGACTAAATCAATTAGAATTTACTGCAATTGGACTGGGGATATGATTCAGTGGGCAAAAGCATTTGCTATAGAAACTTGAGAACCTAAATTCAACTCTACATAACCCATGTAAAGCCATGTGAAGTGGGGTAAATCTATAATCCCAGTGCTCTTACGTGGAGGTAGGAAGCAGAATTAGTAGGATTTCCAGAAGCTGGCAAACTTGGTGTTCATGGCAAAACAAAAGACTGCCTCAAACAAGATAAGAGGCAAGAACCAAGGCCTAAGGTTGTCCCGATGTCCACATATATTCTGTGGCGCATGTGCCTCTAATCACATGTGAACATGAACACAGGTTTTTTTTTTCTAAAAGATTTTTATTGTAGTCTCTAGTACCTTTTTTCCCTTAGGTGGTCTGTCCTGGGACGTTTGGCACCAATACAAAACTTCTCACCTATCAAGTATATAATGTGGATTCCTACAGAGGATTCCTTCAGAAAGGATATTGGGGTGCAACATCTTTTGTCTCAAAAATAATTTGATTTTCCATTGGATTTCTGATCCTTATTGTTTTCATTAAACTTACTGTTTATAGCTTTATCAATTTAATTTTTAAACTCTGTTAACCTTTCACTGTGTGGTTTTTAATTTCTGAATTTTTTAGAAATTTATTTTTGTGCTGGGTGGTGGTGGTGCACACCTTTAATCCCAGCACTCGGGAGGCAGAGGCAGGCGGATCTCTGTGAGTTCGAGGCCACCCTGGTCTACAAGAGCTAGTTCCAGAACAGACTCCAAAGTTATAAAGAAACCTTGTCTCAAAAAAAATAAAATAAAATAAAAAAATTTATTTTTGTTCTCTGAGTGTGCATATATGTGTGGAGATCAGACAACTTTGTTTTCTCTTTCCACTCTTACATGGATTCCAGGAATTGAACTCAGGTGACCAGGCCTGTGTGGGAAAGTGTGCATCTTTAGCCACTGAGCCATCATCTCACTGGTCTGCATGGGAATCCTGTGAGAGTGTGTTGCAATGCAGTTGCTAGTGCTGTTTTATAGTCTTCTAAGAACTTGCCCGTACAGAGATTCTTCAGTGTGATTAAGTTCCCTTTCAACTAGAAAACTGGTGGGACCAACAGTCCATCCATAGGCTTTGTTAGGGTCTTAAGTGTATTGTGTATTGCTGTCCTTCGTCCCTAACCCCAGCTCCCTTTGACAAGAGTATACAGACATTT